GATCTGAGACTCTGTAATCCCAAGAAACAATGTATATGCCACCGTCCTATACAGTACATGCCACCATCCTGTACAGTATATGCCACCATCCTGTACAGTATATGCCACCGTCCTATACAGTACATGCCACCATCCTGTACAGTATATGCCACCATCCTGTACAGTATATGCCACCGTCCTATACAGTACATGCCACCATCCTGTACAGTATATGCCACCATCCTGTACAGTATATGCCACCGTCCCGCAAGCAGTGCATATGCCACCATCTCATACAGCACATGCCACCATCCCGCACAGCACATGCCACCATCCCACAGCAGCACATGCCACCATCCCGCGGTATGCCACCATCCCATACAGTACATGCCACCATCCCAGCAGTATACACCATCCCATACAGTACATGCCACCATCCCAGGCGCAGCGGTATGCCACCGTCCCATACAGTACATGCCACCATCCTGTACAGTATATGCCACCGTCCCCATACAGCACATCATCCTGCGTGTTGCGCAGGCCACCATCCCAGCGCGCATGCCATCCCCAGATATGCCACCGTCCTATACAGCACATGCCACCATCCTGTACAGCATATCCTGCACAGATATGCCACCATCCCATAGCACATGCCACCATCCTGCACAGTGCCGTCCATACAGTACATGCCACCATCCTGTACAGTATATGCCACCATCCTGTACAGTATATGCCACCGTCCTATACAGTACATGCCACCATCCTGTACAGTATATGCCACCATCCTGTACAGTATATGCCACCGTCCTATACAGTACATGCCACCATCCTGTACAGTATATGCCACCGTCCTGTACAGTATATGCCACCATCCTGTACAGTATATGCCACCATCCTGTACAGTATATGCCACCATCCTGTACAGTATATGCCACCATCCTGTACAGTAGGCCCTACATGCCAACATCCTGTAGTGCCTGCCTGTTACAGACAAGAAATTGGAAAAAAAAAACATGTCCGACGGTCAGATGGTATCGACACCCACTACAAGTTTCCAGCTCAGGTGCTGCCAATGAACAATCACAATTTTATTGCACATCATTAGTCTGAAAAGATTACCTTACCAGCAGGAGCAAATGAGCAGTCAGCCCCTGTACCAAAACACCACTTTCCGTCAGAAGGCAAAACAATTCTCCGCACTCTGTTGCAATGTTTAATATAAATTGTAGCTTGGCGAGCGCTGACGTCAAACATTCTTTACTGGTCCACACTCACACATGTTTCTCATGCTGCACATCAAATTAGTCAAAAAAGATTACCTTACCAGCAGGAGCAAATGAGCAGTCAGCCCCTGTACCAAAACACCACTTTCCGTCAGAAGGCAAAACAATTCTCCGCACTCTGTTGCAATGTTTAATATAAATTGTAGCTTGGCGAGCGCTGACGTCAAACATTCTTTACTGGTCCACACTGCACAATGTCTCATTGCATCATCAAAAGAAAAATACAATTAAACTGAGTCAGTTATACAATGTGCAAGTAGCGATTATGTTCTTTCAAATATATATAAATGAGCTGTTTCAATTATCTGAATGACGTTATGATTTACTAACAGCGAAAAAATCTTATCGTGACGTAAAACATTGTACACTGTGTTCACAAAATATGAACGTTTTTTATTTAGCAGGAAGCCTGTCATTCAATGTGTCACACATAATACCGCGGCTTTGTTATTAGTTAACACATTCAAACTAAACCATTCCAGAAGTCCATTATTGATCTACACAGTACTTGAAATATGGTGTACTCTTTATCAGTTGAGAGAGAGAGAGAGAGAGAGAGAGAGAGAGAGAGAGAGAGAGAGAGAGAGAGAGAGAGAGAGAGAGAGAGAGAGAGAGAGAGAGAGAGAGAGAGAGAGAGAGAGAGAGAGAGAGAGAGAGAGAGAGAGAGAGAGAGAGAGAGAGAGAGAGAGAGAGAGAGAGAGAGAGAGAGAGAGAGAGAGAGAGAGAGAGAGAGAGAGAGAGAGAGAGAGAGATCCATGTAAGAATGAGTTAAAATGTACACATGCCCTCCAAGAATTAACCACACACACTGGTGAATGAAAACAGGTCATTGTACAGAATAGAGAACTGTCTAATAAAACGAAACTGCCGGCCTTCAGTCGCATCAGAATAAATAACGCATCTCAACCTGCCACAGAGGTTCCCAGCAAACCCTATACAAACACTATATAACCAGGTTTATCGAAAGGGAAGGTTTGACATGACACCTCCATTTTATTCTGAAGAGGAACGTGGGAGGTATAGGTCATAAAACATTGTGAGCATTTTTCATGAGAGCGACATCAATGCTCTTTTCCTTTCCATGTGTACAAGACATGACACCACACATTGGTCCTACGTATTTTTGTGCATTGTCTATATTAACAAGATAAGTACACTTGTCCCTAAAGGTCTCTTTATGGAGAGGTCCCATGAATTTCAAAATGAACACTGCAACTTCTGTCAAAATCCTTCGTGCGCGGTGACATATTGTTTCACACAGCGTGGGCAATACTTTTTTTTTACCGTGTGTACCTGTACATTATATAGGTGTGTATAATATAGACCCATAGCCGAACAAACATTTTTAAAATTATAAACAAATTAATTTAACCATAGCTCCACCTAAGATAACATAACCATGGCTCTACCTCGCCTTACCATGTCTTTCCAACCCTAACCTAACCTTGGCTCTACCTGACTCTGGTCTCGCAACACTATGAATGAGCCTTAAGGCGCCCAGCACGACAAGGTAAACCAAATGTTACGAGGCAGCTATTCTGATTTACGAACTTGACCTTGCAGATCAATAATATATTGTCAAGAACGAACGAACGAACGAACGAACGAACACACACACACACACACACACACACACACACACACACACACACACACACACACACACACACACACACACACACACACACACACACACACACACACACACACACACACACACACACACACACACACACACACACCTCTCTCCAACATATACTGTATATATAAAACCTCTCATGGCCAAGGAAATAGAAATGGAACCGACTCAAAACTGGAGGCATAAAACTTCATCAAAACAAAAGATTAGTTGAGGATTTTAGTTTAGATTGGGTTATGTTAAGTCGGGTTAGTCATGGTTAGGTTAGATTAAGTTAGGTTTGCATTAGGGTGTTTAATTAATCATCAGGTGAAATACGTTAGGGTGTCCAATCTTCAAGTGATAAAAAAACGTCCATGTGCGCACTTGGCCCTAGCCTAACCTAGCCTAGCCTAACCAAACTTAACCTAACCTAACCTAACCTTTTTGCTAGAATATAAATACAGTACCGAGAGTTTACCCTGAACACTAGCATTCAGAGAGAGAGAGAGAGAGAGAGAGAGAGAGAGAGAGAGAGAGAGAGAGAGCTTTCAGCCAGGTAAAAGTGGTGATGAAGGAAGGTTGGGTTAGGTCACAAGGCCTGGTTAGGTTAGGTTGAGTCTATCTGCTTCTCTCTCTCACCACAAGAGCATATTCTCTTGGCCTTCACTATTCAATAAGCTCTCCCACACTCATATACTCTACACCCCACCCTCCCTCCCTTACCATTCTCCCCCTCTCTCCCCTCTCACACACCCTACTCTCTCCCCTCTCACACCACACCTCTCTAACACAACAAAGACAAGGGAAAATTACGTCACACAACCTCATCATTATAACACGTCACAGAACTTATCTCCAAGGTAACGAGTCTCTGGCGAACAAAGGTTGAGATTCTCCAAGTTCCCAAGTCGAGAAATTTCCTTGTAAATAAAGACGTAACTGGCTGACTTAAGGTAAAATTCACAAAACAACAGGGGAATTATACCCAGACTATAAAGTTAACTAAATACGCTGTTCACTTAGCTCCCGTTAAAAAGAGATAAAATTAACATAACAGAATCTCTCCCACGGTGAAAATAACAATAAGTTATAATAAATAGGCACTAAGCGTGACACACAAGGTCAGTTCACCTTTAAAAATATAGATCTTTTTTCAATAAGTCAAAACAATGCGGTGTTGTTCCAGGACGTGTAGTGTTAGGAGTGACGTCACGGCCATTATACGTCACCCAGACGAAAGTTTAATGTTTCTCGATGGCTAAATAACAAGAAATAACTTAACAGTCTCCGCGTTATTTTGATGTCACTGTAGTCGGCATTTTTGTCTTGCATAATAAGGAAGTCAGATCACCAGAAGATTAACCACCCTAACACAAACCTAAACAACCATAACCTACCCTACCTTAACCTAATCTAACCCACTTTAACCCAACCTAACTGAATCTAACCTAACCGAATTTACCCTAACCTAATCTAACCTTACCTTACCTTACCTTACCTTACCTTACCTTACCTTACCTTACCTTACCTTACCTAACCTAACCTAACCTAACCTAACCTAACACCCCACAGGTAGCATTAGGGTGTTTCATCATCAGGTGAAAAATGGGGTGGCTAATCTTCAAGTGATCCAGTTAGTCAAATTTTTCGTTAATTCTGACATCATTAGTGACACAAATAACTCAACTTGTAACAACATTTCTGAGAATACAGGAAGACAACGTTTACTGCAGACTGTTAGGGTTAACTATTATTATAAATGTTAACCACATGTATGGAATCACGTGAAGATTAGGCACCCTAACTTATTTCATTAGATGATTAAAAACCCTAAGCTAACCTAACCTAAAGATTAAACACCCTAGCTTATTTCATCAGATAGGGAGTGCCCGAGGTGGGGGGGGTCTCTAACATCAAGATTATTGGCTAAGTTACTGATGCGATCAACACACACAAGGAGGAGGCACAGGTACTGTACTCGCTACAGGACCTACTGTACTCGCTACAGGACCTACTGTACTCGCTACAGGACCTACTGTACTCTGGACAATGATGGACTGACCTTGAGGGAGTGGAGCACTGACCGTACTGAAGATGTAAGAGGTGTTAGTACTGACCTTCTTAAGGAGGTAAGGAGCCTCGACGTGTAGTCTACAGCGGCGGGAGACCTGGTTGATGGCGCCGTCCTTGGAGACGGTCTCCTTGAGGATGTCGGTGCCAGCCATGACGGGGATCATGTCGCACTTGGGGAAGCGCCGTACGTACGCCTGTAACACAAGAGGTCAACACGTTACTTACAAGTGTCTCGTATTGTCAGCACTAGAAGGTAAACCATGAGCCGCCATCACGCTGCTGACTACTGGACAAGCTCTTGGTGTGTAGCAGGATATTGTCGTGGTCTGTACAGTACTCGGGAAAACAAGCCATGGCAGGTGACAAGGCAATACAACACAAAATTTTCTTTATTCAATGCCTATTATTTGGTCACAATATATTCTTGCAAAAACTTATGCCCCGCAGCAGCTCAATACTCAATAACTTGTTTAAACTGCAAACTTCTCGCTACTGTGGAGGTGAGAAAATGGTTATGAAGAGTGGCGTTATGAGGGTCACATCAGAGCCGCTGGTGGTGGGTGCTAAGGTAGAGATTAATACAGCTCTTAATACATACATATTAATATAAAGAATACTTCACTCACTCACTCACTCACACACACACACACACAGGAACTCTATCTCGTGTGACCAACAGGATTTCCTAAGACTACATCATCAATAGTGACCTTGAACCAAGTTATACTCTGCCACGACGAGTCTATCATCCGCATAAGGACACATTACTTCATCATCTTCACTATATGGACAAGGTGAAGTGTGTAGACGTGCCGAGAAGATTAAGATGGTGTAATACTGTGCAAGACGTCTTATATAATCTTTCTTGGCCAATACTTTTCACCATCCTCGACCATTACCTGTACTTTAGGCTCCCCAGGTGATGCGTCTACCACCTACTGCTTCCTTAACGTACAGTACCATGTGTAAACAGGTGTACTAATGGCTCGTACTTAGTTGCAGTGGTATAAAAGTGTATCGGAGTGTATGACGTGGTGCCACCTGGTGTGTGGTGTACAAACTAACCTTCCTGGCACATCTGTAGTCATGGTCAGATACTACAACTATTTTATACTTGTACTTGTTGTGTTCGTTTTCCATTCGTTCTGACATTCTACTTTCATCTCACGCAAACAAGAAGCAACATCCACCAACACAGTTAATTATGTATCATCATCACGGACTCCTCTCAACCTCGAGACCGTATGTAAATGATCTTCCACTATTCCTGTATTAATTCAGTTGCTGTGTTGAACATGGATACCACACCGTTGGTTACCTGTCCAAAGTTCGTATGATATAAGTTTACCTGTTAAGAGTCACTAAACTATTAGAAATATATGGAGGCCAAGCCGCAGCAAGCAAAACTGCGAGAGACCATTTCCTTGGCACGAGCGACGCCACATAAAATAACGTAGGAACGGTAATTGATTTCTGGCGGGAGAAATTGGCCCAGTACAGCTATCGTGCCCACAACCACGATACACCAGACTCACTTCCTCTACTAACTCACTGCTTTATTAACTACAGTACTTACGAAAAGAATTATATATTTTTTTCAATTTAAAACTTGAAAAAAATCTTATTATTTGTCTATTCACATGTTCTATATTTTTTATACATACAGTAGATTAAAATAAAATAACGCATTCAATATACAGTATATAATAAAGTCTGAAAGTTGTTGTTGTTGTTGTTATTATTATTATTATTATTATTATTGTTATTATTATTATAATACGGATGTTAGATGAAAGCTTTTGCTATATACTTTCCAACAAAGACGGATTTTTGTGGACAAGAGATACAGCGAACAGGAACGCTGAGAAGTAGCAGATGAAAATGCTTAAAATATTAGAAAGAAAGAAACAAAGACAGAAAGAACGAGATCTCCGCCACACCACAACAGTTACGGAACTCTGGACGAGAATGAAAATAAACAAATGACTATCTAACTCTACCAAGATGTTATGTTGCCATGGAGCAACACAGGAAGTCTGACACTTGAGAGTTATCTCTCCTGGTCTGAGCTATTGCGTTTTAAAATTCCATGACACACGGATCGGCGTAGGGAGGGACTGTAAGCATGTATGTATGCAAATAAATCACTGTAGGTGCGCGTGATCCATGTATATGCTGATAAACACATAGGAAACAAGAAAACACGAAGATCCCAAAGGCTTTCGTGTAATTCACATCTTCAGGGGTGAGTACAGTCTGTACTCACCCCTGAAGATGTGAATTACACGAAAGCGCATGGGAACTTCGTGTTTTCTTGTTTCCTATGTGGTTATCAGCATATGTATGTACAGTATGTATGTATGTATGTATGTATGTATGTATGTATGTATGTATATGGCGACCTGTGGTGTAATGGTCAGCATGCTCGCCTCGCAAGCAACTGGGTGAAACTATGGGCAAGTTTCTTTACGCCGTTTGCCTCTGTCTACCCAGCAGTAATTGGGGACCTGGATGTTAATCGATTTACGGATCGTGTTCCGGGGTAATGGTTAGCCAGTGCAGTTGGCGAGTTGTCCGGTCTTCTCGGATTATTCCTGGACACTGGGTCATGCAGCTCGTTAACTCAGGGTGTGGTTGTTGTGTTGGCGACAGCTTTTACACCTTAAACAAATTCACGCCTAGGTGGTCCTTGGGCCGGCCATCCTCGTTACACGAGGGGCAACCATTACTGTATTATTATATTATGAACAAAAAAAAAAACGGAACAAATATGATATTTTTTTGTAAACATTAAAGTAATTGTGAGTAAAAACAAGATAAAATAAAATACTTCACCAGCCACAACAAGATACCACACATTTTTGAGGTCACCTTTCCTGACTGATTAACTGACACGGTTTTTATTCGTGTAATTGTTTAACTACATCTCCTGACAGTCCCGCACTCACAACCACAGCCTGACACTAACCAAACTTGGACTAATCGCTTTGGTCCTATGATAAGTTATAGTGTGTATAATGTGTGGAATCAAAATGGTGTCCCGTGAAGATTAAAAACCCCAATTTATTCGATCTGATAAACACCCTAACCTAAACCCACATTAATTTCATCCAACCTAACCTAACCTACCCTAACCTAACCATCGGGTGAAATGAGCTATAGGGGATGCCAAATCTACGTGACGCTAAAAATGTATTGCTATCACTGCTACAACTTCAACGAGCACCAACACACTACACTACACTCTTACTGTGGTAGATCCATAACCTACTTTTGTGAAGGTAATCCTATAGCTTGCCTCCCCCTCCATGCTCACCCTATACAACACACACACACATATAAAAGTGGAGAGAGAGAGAGAGAGAGAGAGAGAGAGAGAGAGAGAGAGAGAGAGAGAGAGAGAGAGAGAGAGAGAGAGAGAGAGAGAGAGAGAGACTTTACCCCATGTCACTCCACTTCATCCTCTCTCCTCTGCTAATGCTACCCTCGACAGACCCCCCCAACGAGCGCCAGAAGAAGCCCCTGCCCCTACCATTACATAACACCTCCAGTACGGGCAATCACACAGCCTGGCGTAACTCTCTATCTAGAAGGGTTCAATAGGAGGAGACTGAGATTATTATTATTATTATTATTATTATTATTATTATTATTATTATTATTATTATTATTATTATTATTATTGCTGGAACTCTGGCCACGGACTCTTGGCCTCATATATGGTTAATATTTCCCTTAATTTGTTACGAGAGCAGCGTCATGTTACCAAAAGATTCTGGGTAGAGTGATGAAGCGTGATGCAGCTGTGTGTGTGGGTGGTGCAGCTGTGTGTGTATGTGGTGCAGCTGTGTGTGGTGCAGCTGTGGGTGTGGTGCAGCTGTGGTGTTGGTGACGCTGCTGTACCTCTAGGCACGTGTCACTGGGCCCTACAGCTGCCTCAAGACCCCTCCACCAGGAGTTGGGTCATAACACCAGATATATCAAGACTTCACCAATAGCGGGTCATCTAATCAATACGTCGATAAGTTTTCCTCTCTCTCTCTCTCATCTCTTATCACATGTTTTATAACTCTCTTGTCTGCCAAAGTTCTCAAGGTCGGGGTGAAAGGGTGATAGGGGGAGGAAGGGGAGCAAGGAAGGAAGCAAGGAAGGGGAGCAAGGAGAAGGGTGGAGCAAGGGGAAGGGGGGAGCAAGGGAAAGGGGAGCAAGGGAAAGGGGGAGCAAGGGGAAGGAAGGAAGAAGGGAAAGAGGGGAGGAAAGAGACGGGGGTAGGGGTAAAGGGAGAGAAATAAAGGGTAAGAAACGTAGGAGATAGAAGTAAAGGCTAAAGAAGAATAAGAAGAAGGAAATAGGAGAACGGACAAAACAATGAGGATGAGGAAATGGGAAGATGTATGAACAATGAGGAGGAAGAGGAATAAAAGAGATCAATAATGTTTAGGGGAAATGGGAGGAAGGAGACAATATAGGAAGGGGCAACGGTGTGATAAAGATAGGAGAGGAAGACGGTCGAGGAGGTGGTATAGGGGGAATGGAAAGGGCACAGGAGAGTAGGAGGGAAGAGGGAAGAGAGAGGGGGGGATAGAGAGATGAAGTAGGAGGCAGATAGAAGGATGTAGAGAAGTAGAACATAAGAATGGAGGAAACTGCAGCGGGCCTATTGGCCCATACTGGGCAGTCCCGTTTACACCCAACCCCTATTGCTCATATGAGCATCCAACCTATGTTTGAAGCTATTCAGAGTATTCGAGTTAATGATGATATTTGGTAACTTGTTCCATTCATCCACTACTCTGTTTCCAAACCAGTGTTTACCTATTTCACGCCTAAATCTAAATTTGTCTAATTTAAAACCATTGTTACGAGTTCGCTCTGGTTGGATAATTTGAGTACCTTTGTAATGTCCCCTTTGTTTAGCCCTGCCTTCCACTTATACACCTCTATCAGGTCGCCCCTCGCTCTACGTCTCTCAGGGAGTGCAAATTAAGATGCTTTAACCTGTCTCTATACTCAGGGTTCCTAATGCCCGGGATTAGTATTGTCATTCTCCTCTGAATTCTTTCCAAGGATTCTATATCCATTCTGTAATACGGTGACCAGAACTGAACTGCGTAATCCAGGTGTGGTCTCACAAGAGCAAGATACAGTTTTAGGATGACCTCGCTAGTCTTGTAACTAACACTCCTTTGTATGAACCCAAGTACTTTATTAGCCTTGTT